GGGTGATGCCACTGGTAGGTGGAATCACACTGAGCCGGTGCCCAAATCCCGAGCAGCTCCCAGCACCCGTCTGCTTTCTCGTTAACATGACCCCAGCCCGATGGAAACCATTTTCCTGGCAGACTGGTGCATACTGGTGTGCGGAGGAAAAGGGTTGCAAAGGACCTGGGTACCTGATAAACATCCCGATGGCGTAGGCCACCAGGAAGGCATTATCCAGCGCCCCGAAAAGCTCCTTGTAGTTGTCCCCATCTGGAAAAGAAATATTAGAGCCATGTCAACCTGGCCCCCATCTTGTTTTCCCTCCCTGTGGCCGCTGGCTCGTCCTCATCCGCCATCTCCAAAAATCTCCTCCCCGGGATGGGGGTTCTCGGAGCGTGGCTGGATGCCATCGGCATCGGGACACGGTCCCATCCCGGCCCCGATTTCGCCACCCACTGCTGCCCTTTAGCCCGGGGGCACAGGGCAGACGCTGCTTAATTACCTCCAGGTGCCTAACAAGCAGCCGGCCCCCTGCCAAAACCTCTGGCCACGACTGGGCTTAGGGCAGGGGGGGAGCCCGACTCGGCTTCCATGAGGGTAGTTTTTGGGGTGACTGGGGGGGCTCAGCCTTACCGAAGGGTGCCCAGCTGCACCACGTGCTGCTGTTGGAGTCGTTGCTGGGGTTCGGGTTCAGGGCCGAGCAATTGGGGTGCAGCTGGCTCTGCGGGGAGAAAGAAGGGGTGAAATCGGGATGCTCGAGGACCCCCATGTCCCCTCACCCCCGCGGTTGGGGCGAGGTTGGAGCTAACCTTGACGATGCTGATGGGTTTTCGGGAGAGGTGGTAGCTGGTGTAGCAGAGGAAGGTCAGCACCAGCGTCAGCCCCCGATACCTGCGGGATAAAGGGAGCGGAGGGGTCAGGGTTTGTGGGACGAGGATGGGGACGGGGATGGGTGGCCTGTCACCGTCCCAGCTGGCAAAGCCCATCCCCTGGCAGGGATGTCTCAGACATCTCCAGCCTTGGTGTTAGCCGTGGTCTTCTTCCCTCCCCACCCCAAATTCATGCTTTTTGGAGAAAAATATCAGGTGAGGGGGATGAGAGCCAGTACCAGGCCAGGTTGAATCCATTTGGGATGCGGATTTTGGACGCGCGCGCGCAGCTCCGGCGCTATTTAACCTGCGGGGTCTTAGAAACGCATGAGAAAGGGGAAAACCAGGGTTGTTTCTGCTTGTTTCCCTGGCAAAATACCCCCTTGGCACCAAACGGGGACAATTCTGCCGGATCAGTGATCTGAACCGGCTCAGCTGAGCCGGTAAGGAGGTGACCAGCCCCCCCAAAATAGCCAAGGATGCGGCTTGAAAAGATCAGCTGAGTTTTGGGGGGGGGCACTAATCAGGGTTTCCCCCCCCTCGGGCCGC